TCCCTCCAACCATCTACTGAAGCTTCTTACTGCCTAGCTGATGCTCTGGAGGTCCTCCTTTGGAGATGCACAGAAAGGCAGGAAATGATGGAGTATGGACTTGAGTAGTGACTGACAGAGAATAGGCAGCACACAAGAACAGTACCCACCATCCCCACATAAAAATATTTACTACACAAGATATTCTAGGGAACCAGAACCCAGGGATTCACAAGAGAGGAAAGATGGACACTTTCCTTCTCAGTGTTTTCATCCTATTTGGAGGAGATAGATAGTAAAATAATAAACATACAAGTGTTATGAAGAAAGTAAGAAGTACCACCACTACTGTGTGGTAGACAGGGAAGTGTACATCAATAGTAGTTGTATTCTTCCATGATTACCCTTTAGGTGAGGGTAATTGGGGAAAATCTCTCAGATGACAGTAGAGCTTAAAATTAATAAGGAAGAAACTAGGCTAAAAGCCAAGTGAGGACTGTTCAAACAAGAGAGATCAACAAGGACAGAGTGTAAATATTCTGAAGTAGAAACTTTACTGATCCAAGGGTAGGACAAGAGGTCAGGATGCTAGAGCATGTAAAGGACTGGGGGAGGAAGATAAAGTAGGAATGGCAAATACAGACACAATCATAAGGGATTTTGTAAGCTAGGCAAGGAGTTCGTTTTATCCTAATGCAATATAAGAGTTTTAGGCTGAACATGGTGAGTTGTTATAGGTGGATTATGACACATCAGGTTTCTAATTGTACCATATATTTTTCACAATTCTATAAAAGATAAACTGAAATGGGACAGAGTGGAAATGTCTCATAGTAATTTGCGATTGCCTTGACCAGAGTTTTCAAATCAAGAAGACATAGACATGGACATGGTGTTTTTGGTGGCCCTGTTTAGAACAAAATGAATATCAGAACCAAGATTGGCTGGCTGGCAGCCCATGGGTCACTTGAAGCTAATTGCTCTGCATCTGGATTATACTCCTCTGAATCGAGGACTAGAGGATAAGAAGAGGATTAGATAGTTGGTGGTATAAGAATAGATTAGTGATAAAAAGAACAGACATGCAATGAGAAATAAGAGTAGCACATCCTGAGAGGGACTTGGGTTTCTAATAATAACTTATATATAGAAATCATTACTCTTAAACTTCTCTGAAGAAGAAAGAAGGATGGCCAATAGACACATGAAGATATGCTCAACCTCTCTAGCCATAAAAGAAATGCAAATCAAAACAACATTGAGATACCACCTCACCCCAGTTAGAATGGCTATAATCAAGAACTCTAACAACAACAGATGCTGGAGGTGATGTGGACAGAAGGGAACCTTACTGCATTGTTGGTGGGAGTGTAAACTTGCTCAACCACTTTGGAAAGTAGTATGGAGGTTCCTCAAAAGACTCCACATAGAACTCTCCTATGACCCCGCAATCCCCCTTTTAGGCATTTACACAAATGATTACAAACAAGACCACACTAAAGCTACCAGCACAACTATGTTTATTGCAACATTATTTACCATAGCTAAGATATGGAACCAACCCAGATGCCCCTCAGTAGATGAATGGATCAAGAAAATGTGGTATATATACACAATGGAATTCTATGCCTCCATCAGAAAGAATGACATTGCCCCATTTGTTAGGAAATGGAAAGGCTTGAAAAAATTATATTAAGTGAAGTAAGCCAAGCCCAAAGAAACATAGGTCCCATGGTTTCCCTTATTTGCAATATCTAGTATATGTACGAGTCAAGCAGAAAAGGTCAGATAATGTGATGTCAGGAAAATGAACCCTTAGATATGTATTTAAATTTTTTTTCTTTCATGCATTTGTTTCTAACGCATTTATAAGATTATTTCTTTGTTGCTTTGTATGTCCCTCCCACACAGTATAACCCCTCCTTTCACTATATTTGATGTCGGTATAATTTGTGGAGGAGAAGGGGAAAAACAAGTCGTTTAAATAAGGATACAGGTGGACCCGGTGCAACAATGAGAAGTACAAGTTGTCATGTTGAAAACGAACTTTACAACTTTGGTGGGGGGCAGGGGGAAGCTGGGACAGGATGTGAAGGGTAAACAAAGGAGGAGGCTGCAATGCTTGATAAGAAATGTACTCATTATCTTGCCCATGTAATTGTAACCCCTCTGTACAGTATGTTCACAATAAAAAAAAGAAATCATTACTCTTAACACTTCTAAATAAGGCAGTCTTTGAGTCCTCACTAGCACCAGTTTGACAAGCACCTTACATATTTTGAGGTTTCATTTAGAGACATCTTGTTTATACATCAGGAGTGATAAAAATTTGCTCTGATAATTGAATAACATTTCTCATTGCCTTTACATTTCTATCATGAAGTGGGTGGAATTCTGTTTTGCATTATCCAAAATCAAGAAAGACAGAACACTCACTCTCTAGAGCATTGCTGATCGCCATGGTAAAGAGGAAGAGCATTCTGGAAGTTCTTCCATCAGCAGTTAAAGGCTATGATCATAATTCACTGATAGAATGTGGCTCAACCCAAAAATAAGGATACCAGATTCTTTTAAGCACAAGAAAGAAAACAGGTTTTGTTTTTTAGGTGTGTGTGTGTGTGTGTGTGAATGTGTGTGCGTGCTGGTCCTGGGATTTGAACCCTGGGCCTGTGCACTGTCCCTGAGCACTTTTGTTCAAGGTTAGCACTCTAGAACTTGAGACACAGCTTCACTTCCTGCTTTTTGGTGGTTATTTGGAGATAAAAGACAGAATCTTTACTGTCCAATCTGCCTTTCTATGGCGATCCTCAGATCTCAATGTCCTGAATAGCTTGGATTACAGGCATGAGCCCCTGGTGTCTGGCTTTATAATCATGGTTTTCACTGCTGCTGTACATCAATATCAACATTTCTAAGAGTGACCATTCATTTTAACTCCATGTTTCAGCTACTTACTATAATACCAAAGTTGGAAGGTATTATTAGACATTTCTAGTCACACATACTGTGCAAAATATTTACAAAAAAGTTTCTGCATTATCTTTTGGCCCATGGCTCCATTATCTATCATTTCAAATAAGAGGCAGAAATGTTATCCTTGCCTACATATTCCTCTCTTCTAATAGCTAATGAGTCCCTGAGCCCATAAATAGGTCTCAGTAGCTGATTCTACTAATTTGAGTCACTTAACCCCTGGTAGATTTGTGCTCAGGCAATTTTAGTCTTCGCTGGTTTTCCTGGCTTCATTTCTTCCCCTGTAAACTGCAGTCATCTGAACATTTAACAAACATTGATTCTTATATTAAATCATGGGCCCACCTTGGAGATATTCAAAGTCTAAGGAGGCAATACAGCAACATGAACATAAAGTGACAATACAAGGAAACAGATGTGGTAATAGCTATGTAGAAACAGAGTCAGGGAGAGGAAATGAAATACCAAATTGGGTGTGCTGGAGATGGGAAGATAGCTTGAGAAGCTTTGAGAGAGGAAGAGAAACATCAGCTAAATGACATGGAGTTGTTCCACCACAGCTATCATTTAATACTGATTCTGGGTACCAAAATATTCTCACAATCGTCTCAAAGAGTTCAAATTGTACTGCTAGCTTTATTTTCCATTTCAAAAGAGACACCGAGATTCAGGGAGCTAATAACACGACCAGTTATACAGCTGGAAAACCTGTTTTACACAAGAGCTGGAGATGATATCTACCCACCCATGGAGGCTGAGGAGGTACCTTCTATCTGGATTTGTCCAAAGGCTAAGGGGAGCTGGGGACACTAACTTTAAGGGGAGGGAGGCAACGAGTTGGAAAGGGGCCACCTCATACCACCCCCCTCAGGCACACCACCCTCAAGGCATCTTTCCAGGGCCCTTAGTCAGGACCTCTGAAATGAGACTTCCATGATGGGTGGCTCGGGCCTGTGAGGAGGACTCTTGATCTCCCAATAACCATCCCAGGCCAATTTCTACGGCTCCTGAACACCGAATTCTCTAACACCCAGTGGCAGACCTCAGCATCGAGACTGCTGCCAGGGGTGGAGGGGGACAGACCCGGAGCCTCTCCCCGGCCAAACGCCGGCGCTGCCCGCTCGGATCAGATCGAGGTTACTGCGGAAACGACCACAAAAGTTCTCGGGGCTGGGAACCAAGCAGCTCGAGGACCAGGGGCTCTCCGGATCCCCGAGGAGAAGTGCGCGGCGCCTGGAGGCTCACACAGTCCCCGGCCGCAGCCACCGGGCCCCGGCGCCGCAACCCTCCCCGGTACCAACCCAGCAGGGCGGACGTCGTCGACCCCCAGAGCCCAGAGGGCCGTGCGTCACGGGGGGGCGTGGCCAGAGCGCGGCGGGGGCGTGGCCAGCACGCGCCCCCGCCCCCCCCGCGCCCCGCCCCCTCCAGCCAAAAGGGGCGGGCGGGACGGGACGGGTTGGGGGCTGGAGTTTTCCACAGTCTGCGCCGGGCCCGGTGCCGCCACAGCTGACACGTCGCCACTCTCGGCGGTGTCTCCCGTCCCCGCGAGCAGACTCGGAGCGGCGTGGGGAGCGCCATGGAGGGCCGCTGCC